TTCATGTGAATATGACTGAAAAATTTCATTTTTTCTGAAAAGGTGGTGTCTATTTACTTGTGACCACGCTGTGTACAAGTCTTATATGATAATAACTGATTAGTTTAATGTAATTGTCTAGCCCTTTGCATCTGGGGCCTGACTTTTTTGCACATCATGATCTTTCAGAGTATTACATTCAAAAATTAAACAACTCTATTATCAATATAATTCAATAAACTTGGAATGAAAAAATAATTTGTAATTCAAGTTAATATATCTCAATTTCAAAAAGAAATATATATAAAAAATTCTCAATCTTCATTTCTTATGATACATGATGTATTTGAGCTCCCCTTTCGCTCTTTTTCTAACATCAAACTTTGGCTGCTGCAGTTTCCAACCAATTAGAAACAAACTATACATAATTACAGGTAATGATAGAAAATATTGACCTCCTACTTTCTTGATTTTCTGAGATATCAATAAACCCAAGAGAGAAGCCTCTTCTCTCTCTCTCTCAAATGTTTTCTAATCAACTTTATGTATCTGATAGGCATACTTACAACCAATAGAAATAGCAGATTATTCTCTTTCAAGTCATTTTTTTTATCCTGCTGTAAACTGTTAGAAATATATGATTTGTGCTGACCATATTTTGTTGCTCCAAATGCTAAATAAATTTTTTAACCTATTTATAGCTAGCTAAGAAAGCCAGGTAAATTCCAGTACATCCCTTTTCTAGAGCTACTTTTTGGGATGCTATGTGGCTTATTTTTTTGGACACCCAACTCTGAGAGGTTAATGAGGCTTATGAAATAACACCTTCAATTTTTACCTTAGTTCAAGTACACAATAATTACTACAAATCCTTATTTTTATGTACGTATTTATTGTTAAATTTTTTAACAAAACTAAAATAAAAATAAGAAACTTCTCAGCTTAGCCTAACAATCCTCTAAAATATAACATCTAAAATTTCATGATAGTCAAAGGGTGTATATCTAGCATGACACGTCATAATCACATCCTACTCATATTAGCTCTACAGGAAACAGTGAATTAACTTCCACAGTAACTTATAACTTTTAACTTCAGGATTACTGCTCCTGTTGGTATAGGTTACAGTAATAAAATCATAAAATGGCAAGAAGACAAATGTGAAAAGGTCAAAGTTAAAACTGGTCAGGTAAGTAATTTGGAGCTTTTTGATTGATACTGCAGTCAAGTAGTTTTTTTATTGTTTTTACTCTGTTACAATAATGCTTGGAGACAGCTTGAATTGGTAATGAAGAAAAACTTTAATATAAGTTTAACATAACAGCAAATGTACAACGTTTCGACAAGGTTTTGTCATCATCAGGTACAAGTAGTTTACACTGACACAGACAAAGATACAAAAAGCTTTAACCTTTTTGTAAACAAATATTAAACAGCATTTTATTTTTAGTTCATGGTAGCATTAATGTAAACCAAGATTTTTTTTATTAGATCACTCATGGGGTATTATGCATGCTACACTGTAAAATATTAATAACTAAATATTAAAAACAGTAAAATAGATGAATATATATTACGAACTTAGATATAAAACACTATATATGCCACTCACAACAAAACTGAGCTGCTAATGCCATTTTACTGTTTGTATTCACTTTTAGATAAAAGCAAAATCCTAAATGTTATAATATACAATTTTGTATTTTGTGTGATGAAGAGAAGGCAGGTAGGTTTTTCTAGCACTTTGTACCTTGAAAAAGTTATTTTTAAAATGACACATAACTGATCTTATGGATATATCTATCATATTTTCTCTTAAAACAAGAAAGATATGAAGTGATTTATTGAAGTTTATTAGATTGTCGGAAGGACTGATAGGATAAATGCTCTTACTTCTTTGTGCTATGTTTTGAAGACAAAAAATGCAAAAAGACAGAAGGTTTAAGGTTTGAAAAAGACAGGCTAGGCTCCAGTTAAAACACCTATTTCTGTAACACACTGATTTTATGGAACAAATTGCTACTAGCAATTTCAAATTATTTCTCTTTATTTTATTAATATCTAAAGAACAAATTCACATAGATGTCATCCTTAACACTAAAAAAACAAGCCTATTACACTAAACATTATGCAGTTTAATACTTATCAAACTGTAAATGTAAGTATTCATACAATTAAAATGATAACCAATATAGGTTTCCAGTATCAACTGCATCTCGCTCACTAAACTTCAATCATAAAATATATTTAAAAAACAATAACAACAAAAATACCTACCAATGAATTTATATACATTACCTGTTATGAAAAGGACTTCTGCTTCGACTCCTAGACCATGCATTAGTTCTTCTGGAATATGGACTGGGACTTCGAGAATAATTACGAGGTCTGTCTCTTTCTCTGTTATCTGAAGGAGATTTTCTTCTCTGCTTTGTGACTCGCAATACTGGACTAGAAGGTGAAGGGCTTCTACGATATGCTCGAGGTGCCTCAGGAGTCCTAGATTTCTTTCTTAACCTCTCACGAAAATGATCTCGACCTCTATTTGTATTATAATAATAATCTGATTCACTAAGATAAGAATGTTCATAGGCCCCTTCACGAAAGGGGTAAGAAAAGCCTCGATCATAGTCCTTCTCTCTTCCATATAAATACACATGTGGTCCTTCACGAAAAGAAAAGTCTTTCGAAGATCTGTCATGTTCTCTCTCTTTCCTGTCACGAAAAGACAAAGGCGAAGAAGATCTTTCTTTCTCTCGATGTCTCAATGTTTTTTCTATTGGTGACATTACATTCTTCCTTTCTTTATGGTGACCTTTATATCTTTCACTTCCTCTACTTTTGTCACTTGTTTTACTTCTACTGTTTGATACACTTTCAACAATTTTAGGTGGGGTTGATAAAACTATATTATCTGTTTCATTTAAAGAAGAATTGTTTGCCTCAGAAAATGCAGAAGAATCTGAACTTACGTCATCATATTCCACCAAAGACTTTACTGTGGACATTGACATTACAGTATCTTGGTCTTTTCCCTTGGAATGTTTCTTTTTCAAATTCCTGCATGATGATTTTTTGTGCTTTTTACGAATACTTGGGCCGGCCGAACCTGATACACTACGCTTCTCGAAGTTCGAACTTGACGATAGGCTTAAATTAAGTTTACTTTCCACTTGGCCTTTCTTACTATTTTCTCTACTGGTGGTGCTGGCTGCTGTTTTACTTTTAGAGCGAGAACGATGAGTCTCCGAGCTAGGCATCGCTCCTTAGATTTGTAATTACTTCGTTAAACTACTTAAAATATTATAAACGCTGGCAAAACGAACACTCCAAAGCAAGTAAAACATTTCACCCTTACCGTGCTTACGACGTCGAATGACGAACATAAACAAGCACCATTACACCAATAATGAAACCATCTGACGCCATCTTGTTCATTTTGGCAATACCATCTTAACCCTAACCCAAAGCATTCATTAATTCGAGAATATTTCGGACGCACAGTATCCCTTGAACTATTAATCATACATTTATTTGTCCAAAAATAAGTAGGATTTCTTCGCTTAGTTGTTTATAATCATAAGAAAACTTTGCCAATAACTCAAGTCGGAGAACAGTACTATAATATAGTACCTAGGCCAAAGTAGTATTCAGCATTTCCGACTCCTCTTTAAAAAGTTTAAAAATGAAATTAAAATTGAAATAATTCGTTGCACGTCTTTATTGAATAATTAAATCATTAATTTTTCTTATGATCATTGGAATTTCTTAAAAACAGGAATATTTTCCCTGATGTAAGCGGATTTCGCTACCCACTTAATTAAGATCGCGAACAACGACTAAACTCAAAGCCTCAAACTGACGTCACGTGACCTTCTAATTTTTGCAGGCATTGTGGGAATGTCTGTGAATAAAGGTTAAAATGGACGACTTATAGAGTATCGTTTAGATGTTCTTTTAAACAGGACCTCAAGCTAATACGTTCAATGAACATTATAAGGAAAATTTAATTTCTTTAAATATATTTTTACGCAATAATTTAAACACATTCTTAGGATGTGGTGCTATTACAATTTAATATACATATTTAGAAACACGTTTTTTATTATATCAAACATCTTTTACACCGTCTGTTTTTAATTCTTTTTACTTTTATCATGACTTTCTTTAAAGCAAGTATCACTTTAATCCAAATGTGACCTCACTAACACTGTGGCAATGAAAATTAATTTTTGATTTCCTAATATTTCATGATAACGAGGAACACACTTGGAATATATATATATATATATATTAGAGATGGCTGATATGGGTATTGAAAACTTATTTAAATCACAAAACAAGTAACAACGTTTCAACCTTCTTAGGTCATCATCGGGTTAAGAATAACATTTAAAAAAGTGACCGTTATGTCACTTTTTCAAATGTCATTCTTAACCTGATGATGACCTAAGAAGGTCGAAACGTTCTTACTTGTTTCGTGTTTTAGATAAGTTTTAAACACCATATCAGCCGTCTTTACTATACACCTGGAAAAAAGTTAAGCACCCCAAAAAATTTTTCAGGATTGCTTATTGAAAATAAGGTTTAATTTTCATGATGTTGAGCAATGTTCATAATTTCAAACATAATTAAAAGGATCTGCCTGATCTCCTGATCGGAATTTAGGTCTTCGTGACCTAGGAGGGTCAGGTACTCTGAGACCTCTTCCTCCCTAATTAAAAGGATGTGAGCGTTCAGGTGTGACATTTAAATCAGGCGCGTTTTTTTCCCCACGTGCAATATGCACGTCCAATATGCAATTTTCTCGTG